GACGTCTGTTCGTAATGGCAGTTAAAACTTCCTCATCATCGTCGACTGCCACACCGTCCGGGCCTGTACAAGCCTCCACATGGTCCACACACTACAGCACGCCCCCTCAACTCAGTCGCTTCCCTCCTCACGCATTTTTCGCACAGGAGCACCAGACGTAGTCTGGTCTGACCAAGGCCCCCAGTTCACAACATCCAGATCTTCACAGAATTTCTCCAAAGAATGGGGATGTTCAACCATCACCTCCTCCCCATGTACCCACAGAGGCAACGGGAAGGCTTGATGCCAAGTCAAATCTATGAAAGAAACAATCCGAGTACCATGGAAACTTGACAGCCTCGATGACCGGAAACTCGCATCGCGCTCTGCTCCAGTACGTAACACGCCTTCTCAGCGGAGATCCCCCCTCAACATCAAGAAGCTTTTTTGGACACCCCATACAAGACCACTTCCACTTCAACACTCGCCTCCTCCCGCCCATCGTCCGCGAGTTTGGCACCACATGCAGACAAGCGAAAAAGGCCGAACAACATACCATACGCAACGCAGACATGGTAGAACACCACTCACAGATCACATGCCCAGCAACTTCCCGAAATCGAGTAGGCTCCAAGGTGGCTATTCAAAACACAGTCACAAAACTGTGGGACTCTACGGCATGGCACATCCCTCCCCCACATCACCGTAACTTAGTAAAGACGCAATTGGCCGTGTCCTGGTCAGAAACCGTGGCTACCTCGACGTGTGTCCCAATCGGTGCACCGAGCAATGCAGTGGACCACCTCCACAGTCAACCCCGGGCCCTAGACCTCCACTCCACCTCCACCAACACGCTCAACTCGCCAACACAGGGGGCCAAACCAGAGAGGTCGGCCTCATGCGAAGATTCGCCTTCACATACGTCCGAGGGGGGGACGTGAAGGCGCAGAGGGAGATGTAGATAAGCATGGACCTGATGTGACTATATACTAGATTACTATCTTACGTGAGATTCCATTGTGATGTACTCATCTCTGGCCACGTTATTTTGGGAATGAGTAATGGTTACACGCTAAATCTCACTTCTCGATTGTTTTTCGGTCTCACAAAGGATAACGATCTGACTTAACGGGGCAATGAAGGTCAAAAATTTGTGGGGTGTTCTCTGAAATGCTCCGTTGCGCTAAGCTAGAGCGCTTCAGCATTGTATGTGTAATGCCTGTAGTGTCGCCATTTTATCATCGTTTAATTAAAAATTATCGCTGGCGCGGATAATGCGCATGCGCTTCTAGACTATTTCACAGGCTTTCCTCAACCTGTCCGCTTGCTCTGTCTATCTTGAAGGCACAAGAAGATCACAACGAATGGCGGGTATCGACTCTTGCGTGCTATCCTAACTACTGTAGCTAGCCCGTGCAGTCTCTCTGCGAGCTACTTCGGGGTTTGCACTTTCGTGACTTTTCAGTACCCTCGGCGTGGGCGCATGCCCAGTGAGGGGTACTGTAGAGGTTGTGGGTGTGTGTGTCTGTAGTCTGTTATTCTGTTCTCAGCATCTCACTTCTCGACTGTTTGTTCTCTCACAAACGCTATGACCGACTTACTAACGGCAATGAAGGTCAGAAAATTTGTGGGGTTTTATCTGAAAATGCTCCGTAGAAAAAGGCAAAGCTAGAGCGCTTCCAGCATTGTATGTGTAATGCCGGTAGTCCCATTTTATTATCGCTGCAGGATATGCGCATGCGCTTATAATATTTCATCGCCAGGCTTTCCATCTCAACCGGGTCCGCGTGCTCTGTCTATCTTGAGGCAGCAAGAAGTCACAACGATGGCGTGTATCGACTCTTGCGTGCGATCTACTACTATAGCTAGCCAGTGTCAGACTCGCTGCGAGCTACTTCGGGTTTGTCACTTTAGTGCTTGTTCATTGGTCTGTGGTCCCTGTCTGTCCCGTGTTACTCTCTTCATCTCACTCTCTGAGTGTTCATTCGGCTCACAACGATCCACCTACTGAACGAGCCTGAAGGGTCAGAAATTCGAACGGTTATCTCTGAAAACGCTCCGTTGCACAAGCTAGAGCCAATATGCAAATACACAACGCTTACTACGGCATGATCGATCCGCGTGCTCTGCGTACTCGGAGGCACCAAGATGCAACGCAGGGAGTGGTATTGCCTCTCGCATGCTATCTAGTAGTGTAGTTAGCCCGCTCAGACTCTGCGCGCGCGCAAGAGACCGCGAGTAACTAAACCCAGTCCATCATTAGTGGTATGCGTGCATGCGTTTACTTACTCTTACGTGTGCGCGTCACACCGTGCGCCGAGGGTTTTGCTTAACCCTCGCGCGCATGCCGCAGCGAGGTTTACTGTAGTCGTTCTGTGTGTCTGTCTGTCTGTCTACTCGACTATTCTCGCGACTATAGGCAACGAGGCGGCTATGAGCGATACCAACAGCTTTAGCGGTACATGGGCTAGAAAAATTAAATGGCGATTTTGCTGAAACGACTGCGCTCGAGAGCACAAACTGGCACAGTCGCGGGACAGCGTTGCGTGCCCACCCATCAATAAGCGGTGCGCAGGCGTGTATTAGACGCGATCAACTGGCTCACCTCGACCTGATCCACTTGCTCTGTGTACCTTGGAGGCACAAGAGCCACAGCGAAAGGTGTGTATATCGACTACCGCATGCTATCTACTACTGTAGCTTGCCGTGTCAGACTCTCTCTGACGAGCTACTGGCGGGGACGTGAGTAAACGCAGAGGTGGAGCGCGCATTAGCGTAGCACAAACATGCGCAGTTCGCCGAGGGTTTGCACTTAGGCTTTTCATTTTAGCTGTACCACTTGCATAGACAATACCCCACCAATAGTAGTTATAAATACACTAATACCATTTGGAGGAAAATATTTAAGCATAAGAATGTAGTTTCTGAGAAAAATAGACAAATCCAAAAACTACCATTAAAAGGACCTTCCTACCGGGAAAAGAATAATAGTAACTAGAGTAAAATTCAATCCATACTCTTGCTCGCTGTACATCAATATACTGTAAAGTAAACTGGGCTAAGAAAGAGCATGTGGATGTAAGAATGTTAGTGAGTGGCATAGTAAAATTATTAATAACAGAATAGGTGTTTTAAAATGAAAGAAATCACGTTGTAGGAAAGAGCAAGTACCTAGGAATCGCGATAGTATGGAGTATTTGAATGGATTTCACCAATGTTACGTTCTAGTTCCTGCAGTAACAACATCATAGTGGTATGTAGAAAGGGTAGTTCTAAAAGAGGTTTACCTAACAACATTCTACTTATGTATTTACAACAAACACATATTGGACATACAGAACTGGAATATTCCAATTCAGCAAGATATGAAACAACTACCGGACCAAACACATATTGGATATACAGAACTGGAATATTCCAATTCAGCAAGATATGAAACAACTACCAGATATGTACTGGTTACCTAAATTACACAAAAGTCCCTATGGTAGTAGGTTTACAGATGTACCGACCAAGCCCCATCAAAGCTACTGATTGCAACTATAATGCAACACATTAAAGAGTATTGTAGTGGCATATTTAGGAATACTGGCTATTGGATAATTAGTAACTCACAGTTGGTCATAGAATCGTTGACGATGACCAAGGCTAAGAGTGTGAATACCTTTGACTTTTATACTCTATATACTACCACCCCCCATGACTCGATGAAGGATGACTTAATCGAGGAAGCCTTTTCCAAAAGGGATGCCTTGTATCTCTCTGTTCAAGGAAGGAAATGTGTTTGGAGTAATGACGGGAGGACTGGTGTTAATATCTCCAAGTCTCAGCTAAATAGATTATCCAGTAAATAACATCTATGTCCAAGTAGTCTTTCGTCGATGCATTGGTATACCAATGGTAACAGACTGCGCCCCTCTTCTGGCAAACCTCTACTTGTTTAGTTTTGAATATAAGTTCATGAAAGCTTTGCTGAAGAATAACATATCTAAGGCTAAGCATTTCTCTAACACATTTAGATACATAGATGATTTATTAACTATAAACAACCCTTCCTTTGAGAGGCAACATATATCCACCAGAGTTGATACTTAAGAAAACAACTGAGAGTGGTATACTGTCTCATATTTAGGCGTAGGTATTTCAGTTCAAGATGGTCTTACATTTTCCTTTAATATTCCATCTGGACCCGCATATGGGGTATATTATATACCACAACTTGTTAGATTTGGACATAATTGTAGTAGTTTTGATGGTTTCATAGAGAATATCACTACCAGACTAATTAAACAAGGATTTTTGTACCATTATTGGTGAAGAGTTTAATTCTATACAGGTACACTCATCTTTTGACCAAATATGGAGTCTGTGTGGAGACATTTGTCTGAGGGTATTTGGCCCTTGGAATGCCTCCCATCATTGTACAGAAACATCACTGTTCGACGCCCATATCTCCCATATTTATAAATCGTGGCTTGTCGAACATACCTCAGCCCTTACTCCACGGGCTCATGCGAATATAAATTGATTATCAGCCCCTGGTTTGTGTTTGTGTTTTATCTCTGTAGATGTCAAGTGAAGCCCCAGCAGCCCTTCTCACACATCTTTCTTTCTATACTAAAGCGTTAGCTGTTATTTTACATCTACATTCTCAAGGTATATTCCCTCACATCCAAAATTGTGATGTTTTCTTGCCCCAAATGCACAGATTTTAGACTTTTCAGTGTTGGTTCCAAAACTCTTCAAGGGCGCCAATTTGCTTATTTAGTCCATCTGCACTAGTTTAGAGGAATATGATGTCATCAGCAACCTGCCTCATTCTTGGCCAATTCAACTTCTAGTCCAACCTTGTCGCGCACACCTTTTTGCCACTTCAACACACTGAGGGTTTATCTTCACTATGGCTGTGGTTCTATAAATGGACTGCAGTACAGCACGGTTGTTATGTCGTTCCAAAGCTCCGACAGCTGTCCTGCCCTCCACTTAGCGATAGCGGAGGAGACGAATGCGCGCGAAAAGCTACGACGAACGACCTTTGAACCATGCGCTAAGGGGAATTTGCGCATGGTTCTAAGGTCACTCGTAGCAGCACATGTCCTGATCCTGTGAAAGGTGTCTTAGCTTGGTTTCATCCTCCGTCACGATGATTATCTACAAGGACCTCTTTTCTGGTGAGGTTTTCTAGTGGGGATGTTGTAACAGTAATCGTGTGATCTGGGAGGGTTTGCATTTTTGTCCCGACATACAAACGGTTTGCGGATCAACTGTAATAATACAGATTCGGATCGAGTGGACCCGATGCGTAGAGCGATGTTCGAAGGTAAAGCTAGGCTATGAAAGGCTAGGGCTAAGGGAATAGGGATAGGGGCTAGGGCGGATCGAGTGTAGTGTACGGACCCGATGCGTAGAGCGATGTTCGAAGGTAAAGCTAGGCTATGAAAGGCTAGGGCTAAGGGAATAGGGATAGGGGCTAGGGATCAAGTGTAGAGAACGGACCCAGCGCGCAACGACTTCCGGAAGACGCACAAGTGACCGCGCCCCCACGCATAGGCCACGCCCCCTAAAACTACCGAGCGTACAGAAGAACCAATCCTTGATCTTCAGCGCGAAGAACGACAGGAAGGGACGTTATATACACATCTACTAGCTATTGTGGCAGCCAGAAGGGATTCTCGGATAGGCAACGCCCCCTAACACATTGCTCAAGCACGAAATAACTGCTAACAAATGCACAGCCTACATTTTGTGGAATGGGGAGCCGAGCGGCACCAGAATCGACACTTTACGGTGGTTTGGCAGCCTTTCACGAACTCTGCTGATCAGTAGATCGCTTGGTTCTACACCAAGGGCCTTAGAATGGCTTGATTTTTTTGGAAACAACCGGCAATGAACATGCGGTAGCAAGATGGCCAGTTCCTTGGTGATCAGCAGAGTGCGTGAAAACCACCGTAAAGTGTATTCTGGTGCCGCTCGGCTCCCCATTCCACAAAATGGAGGCTGTGCATTTGTTAGCAGTTATTTCGTGCTTGAGCAATGTGTTAGGGGGCGTTGCCTATCCGAGAATCCCTTCTGGCTGCCACAATAGCTAGTAGATGTGTATATACACTTTCCCAACGTCCCTTCCTGTCGTTCTTCGCACTGAAGATCAAGGATTGGTTCTTCGGTAGTTTTAGGGGGCGTGGCCTATGGCGCGTGACTTGTGCGTGGGGGCGCGGTCACTTGTGCGGCTTCCGGAAGTCGTTGCGCGCTGGGTCCGTTCTCTACACTTGATCCCTCCGAACTAGAGTAGCTCATCAAAGGTCGGATAATCGGACAGGCCTCCAGAGTGTATGATAGAATATCATTTATATCTAGGATGTAGTGTTGCAAATGATAATCCTTCGTACCAAGTTTGGAGGATTGGCGCGCTTTTGTTGCCAAGTTATGCCCTCGAAAAGGTCCACTGCCGATATTACGTAACGTCGGACATTATCTGGGGCTAGGGGTTAGTGGCTAGGGCTAAGGCAGCAATGGGATCAAGTGTAGAGAACAGACTCAGCGCAGTGACCCCCTATAGGCCACGCCCTCCTAAAACATTGCTCACGCATGAAATAACGGGAGGGGGCTGCTAACTGAAACTCTTGCAAATCCACAGGCTATTATTTGTAAAACGTTCACTGGTAAGCCGAGCGGCATAAGAATAGACACTTTACGGTGGGTTTGCAGCATCCTCTCCCTTTCTCGCGCTCTGGGAGCTGACAATGATCAGCGGATCGCTTGGTTCCAGATCAAGGCCCTTAGAATGGCTTCATTTCTCGAAACAACAGGCCATGAACATTGGTAGCAAGATGGCCAGTTCAATCGGGCCCTTGGTCTGGACCCAAGCGATCCACTGATCAGCGTCAGCTCCCAGAGCGCGTGAAAGGGAGAGGATGCTGCCAACCCCACCATAAAGGGTCTATTCTGAGGCCGCTCGGCTTACCATTGAACGTTTTACAAAAAATAGCCTGTGGATTTGCAAGAGTTTCAGTTAGCAGCCCCTCCCGTTTTCATATACCGACGGATGCCCTCCTAACTCCCTTCAGCACGAAGCTTTCTGGAATATATCAACATCCAGTAAAAGCGGAGTTCAAGCCCTCCAACCTGCACTAAGAGGAGTCGCCTTCACCTATGGTTTTCCTGCTCCCTCCCTCGTTGCTTTGGAAGCTATGGGCGTAGGTGTTAACCCTTAGCCAGCCACGGGCACATAAATATGCCCAGAGTGTCCATAAGTCTATAAGAATTTATATACGTCTATAATCCAAACGCGGGTCAGTTTGATGCGTATGTGCGGCTGGACGTGTCCGATCTTAGATAGCCGAAGCAGCTGCAATACTACGTGGAGTAAGCGGAAAGTATCCTCTTAGTGCCGGTTGGAGGGCTTGAACTCCGCTTTTACTGGGTGTTGATATATTCCAGAAAGCTTCGTGATGAAGGGAGATTAGCAGGGCGTCCGTCGGTGGATGATAATGTCCAATGTTACGTAATATCGGCAGTGGACCTTTTCGAGGGCATAACTTGGCAACAAAAGCGCATCAATCCTCCAAACTTGGTATGAAGGATTATCATTTGCAACACTACATCCTAGATATAGAATAACTAAATGATATTTTATCGTACGCTCTGGAGGCCTGTCATGGTGTCCGACCTTTGATGAGCTACTCTAGTGAGGACGCTGTTTCGGGTAGCTACAGCAGCGCATTGAATTCTGCCTAGAAGGTTCTTAGCCCTAGCCCCTATCCCTATTCCCTTAACCCTAGCCTTTCCTAGCCTAGCTTTACCTTCGTACATCGCTCTACTCATCGGGTCCATACAATACACTTGATCCGGCCTCGATCCCTATTCTTAGCCTAGATTTACCTTCGTTGGTCCCTAGAACACGCGTAGAATCCGTTGCGTTTATGGTCCGTACCACTAAGTACGGTAGAATATAGGGGTAGAGTCAACGATGGATTTTTGGCCGCCATGAAATATCGGACGCGAGTATTGCTACACCAAACAAGCTATACTCAGGAATAACATCTACCTGCCTATTCCTTGCTCACAAAATCTTCCTCCGTTATTATTACTCGTCACGTTCGCAAGGCGTGGACGTGCGGATTACACCGAATTCGGCAAAAATTGTCTATATTCAAAAGGAAAAACCGAAACAACTTGGCTATGCCATTTCTAAAAAATTCTACCCACTGTCTAGCCGAGGAACTAGATGTCTCTATGTCTTCGGGTGGGTAGTGACTAGCTGCCCAAAACAGGATGGTCACACCTCCTTTTATTACTGCACACGTGTAAGTTTTCCGGAAAAAAAGTGATTGAATTGTCATAGACAGCAGATACAAGAAAAGTCTGTGTGTTTGGCCTTCTGGGGCAGAATTTCGACACTCCAGCAGTGGTACCAGAGGTCACACCGACCACACTGGGCCAAATACACAGACCTTGGATGTGAACAATGACCACTAACATAATTGCTTAGTCCTGCAAATAAAAAGAATAACATTCCTGTGACCAATAACTGTGTTTAGTAGCTTCGGATCAGATTGTTCTTGGGTGAATCGTTTTTTAAATGTAGTTTAATAGTAGGTTAAACGTAGTTAAAGAAGGAGCCAGCCCCTCGCTGCGCACCGACGTTATACCAAGCGGTACGAAGCGCATGCGCCAGCACGCACATGCCCAGACAAACACGGTGTCAGTCTCAGACGGAAAGTCGCGTTCTGGTCGCAGCGTCAGATTTGCTTCGGCGCCGTCATCAGGCAGAGCAGTCTCTCTCCGACTCTTATCGACCGTCCGCGCCTCGTGGGCAGGTTTTTCCCTCTATCCCCCCTTCCCATCGTGTCTCCCACCTCGGTCGTCGACGCAGTGCCGATCGTCGTTTCTCTGTCATACATAAACGCACCTTGCGTGCCTACCGACTCCCCCTGCCCCGACCCCATTGTCGTCGGGAAATTCACACCTCACGTGCAACCTTAGTCTCTTCGTCTCTCTCGCCAATCCTCAGCGCGATGGCAACAGACGGCAGTGGCACAGCTTCTCCGGCCGCGATGCGCGCTGACCTGTCGTCGGCCTCGACTGAGACCCTGCACAGCTACAGTGGCCCATCCCGTGCCGGCAGAGAGTCGCTCCGGACCCAGCACGTCGACCGGTGAGTCATAGTACGCACACACGCGGCGCGTAGGCCTGCCTGGGCCGTAGACTTTCCGCGACCGCTCGCTGCGGTACGCACGCTCGTACGGCGCTGGCCCAGTCACATGCTGTCCACCGCTAGCACTCACGCCGGACATGCTGACCGCCGCTAGCGGTCACTGTGGGCATGCTGTCCACCGCTAGCATTCACGCTGGGCATGCTGTCCGCCGCTAGCATTCACTCTCGCCCCCGCTGCAGGACGCTGCAATACGGAGTCGGGGGGCGTATCGGACGCCAGCCGGCTGTCTACCCTACCCACCTTCACCCCAAGTGGACCTACCCCTTTGGGCCTCAACATCTTGGCATCGGCCGCGTTGACCGACCACACCAGACCAGCGCCTACCCTCAGGAGCAGGGACCCAGAGCTGCGGGGACTACATGGTCCGGGGCCATTCACCCCATCTGCCATTGTGCCTCCGAAGGTGGTCAAGAAACTCCTCGCACTCCTCGTCCAAGCAAGCCGCCGATCACTACACTCCGCTCCTGGCTCTATGTGCTATGGCCAAATGGCCGCCGTCATCACCTCCAGATTCCCGGAGAAGACTGCAGAGTGCTGGGCATACCAGACCACCATCATCCACGCAGACCACACTTACGAGGGGGCGGACGAAGAACCTCAACTGGTCGGTTCCCAACCAGAGGCTCTGCAGTGAGGCCGAGCCGAGAGGCACCCGCTATGCCCCCATTGCCTCTCAGAGGACCACACGTCGGCAGGCTGTCCTCACAACTCCAACCCACCCTTCGTTGGGTGGTTCCATGGAACTCCACACCCCCAGCTCGGGCCGGCCACATCTGGGCAGCCATATCGCACAAAGTCTGCAGAAATTTCAGCATCAACCGTTGCACGTATGAACCGACTGCTCCGGCCCACATGCGGCAGTCAACTGCCCAATCGTCGGGCCGAGGGGCTACGAGCCGTAGCCGCACCCCCACCCAGCCCCGCTCCAGCCGTGGCAACCCCTCCCCATCAGGGGCCATCCCCGGATCCGAGCAGCGGAAACAATCAAAATAGTGAACCAGGCAGGCCAGCAGCAGGCCCACGTTCCTAGCAAAACTGCAGCTGCAGACACATTCATTCCATAGCATTCTCCGATTCACTTCTGCATTACGGAAAGAAAAAGGAAAAACGACAACAACCCGCGATTGATAATTTCACTGATGTCCCCACAGAGTGGGGGTAATTTTGCAAGTACACGGCTGACTTGCTGTGCATGGACACCTGTTCCGGTTCCAGGACAGGAGTGCACCCACGGCTCAGCATGGTGCACGCCCCTCTAGTCCGAACTGCTTGGGCATCGGCCCTGGGGGATCACAGAAGGAATGCAGCTAAGGAAGTGATTCTTGAACCATAATCCAAAGAGTTCTCTGTCCATCCACCCTTTAGCTGATAAACCATAGAGAGTTCCCTCTACCTCACCTTCTGTTCGAATAATTATGAAAAGCACTAAAGTGCAAACCCTCGGTGAACTGCGCATGCGCGGTACCGCTAATGAAGCCAGTGTAGCGCTGAACACGTAGGTGTCGCTTTTTGGCCGGTTTGTTGTGCGTGGTGGCGGTAACAGACTGACAGCAGACAGACCGACACAGACCAAGTACCGTAACCCTCGGTGCACATGCGCGCCGAGGGTTAATGACCATTGGAGGCATGCAAAACCCTGGAGGCATGCAATGAAGCCAGTGTAGCGCTGAACACGTAGGTGTCGCTTTTTGGCCGGTTTGTTGTGCGTGGTGGCAGATAACGTGGTAACAGACTGACAGACAGACAGACCAAGTACCGTAACCCTCGGTGCGCATGCGCGCTGAGGGTTAATGACCATTGGAGGCATGCAAAACCCTGATGCACTAACACAAGCAACAACTTATGTACTTATCACCTGAGCCAATGGCAGTTGCTTCAGATCCCCTTTCTGCAACTATGTGAACTATGTGTGGTGCTTTTGGGTCTAGCGGCATCCCACTTTCACCCATATTTAAAATTTAGCTTGATTTTCCTTTCCCACTCAGGTCTTTTTCATCAAGAGTACGCTCCAGTAAATCGAAATAACAGCATATTACATCTGGAGTTGGAGCACGCAACGAAAATGGAAGGGTTTCGGTCACCTGTGTTTTACCCTATCTGGTTCGTTCGCCAAGGCTTGTTCTTCCTGCTTAATAGCCCTGAAGGAGAGATCCCACATTCAACCACTGTCCCTCATTTCACGTGAACTGGGTTTGCTGAAATCCAGCAAGCCATTGGTTAGCCGAGGAATCGTGCATTTCGCTCATACTTATATTAGTTACTATCCTGCAAATTGCAATGTGCCTGCTCATGTAAACGTGTATCAGGCAGGCTTGTCCAACACCATTTTCATAGATGTTCCAGTTATAGTTGAGCAGCAAAGCTAGCTAGAGACTGTTGAAGAACCAAGTTATTGTCGGGCTTCAGAAGCCAAACCGTCCAGCATTGGGCAGTCTTTGAGACAGCCAAAGAGTGAGAGACGCAAATATTTTTCGATAACTAGCTTCCAATGAATCGCTTCAACATGTACCCACATTCTAACAATGCTCTACCTTATTTGTACATAAGAGAAGAAGCCGGTAGTTCGACTGATCCGGTTGAGTGTCGAACATACGCTCACATTTGTGCCTAGCATACAAAAGCTGTTGGTGTGACTGCTGCACATTGGTTTGTTGAGTGTCAACAAATTCACTACCACGGTGCTTTGGGAGAGCTAAGTAGCGGAATATGAGGGGTTGCTACTCTCCTAAGCGAGTGAGATCAATGATACATGGTGTTTTACAGCTGGCACGGATAGGTTTTTTTTTCACTGGGTTACCTTCAGATTACTGCGGGGATATAAATATTCTCATTTGAGAATAATGTGAAAAAGGAAGAACATCACACTGTACTACCGTGTCATGATCAAATGCAGATATTATTGGTATCTTTCTCATTGTTGAATTTTAGGTGATGAAATGTTCGCTGGTATATACAAGATGAAATGTGTCGATGATGTGTTATATGAAGTGGAGGGGAAGGTAAATTCCTTAGAAACAAACATGTGCACTTTATTCATGCAGACATAGATGTGTTCATGCCTGCTACATTGCCAGTACATAAGGGCTAAATTTAGAAATATTACTAAAGATGGAACAAAAAAATTGGGCCCAGTGAAAGAATGCAATTACTTTTCTGTTTTTAGTGACAGTTTCGAAATTTCGCTCTTCTATACTGTCACATTCCATTTAAATATTAGTTAGTTCGGATGGTAGTGGCTGTACGCGAAATAAAGGTACGAGAGGGCATAGTGGAGGTAATCAAAATTCACGAGGCGAAGCCGAGTGTTTTATGGCCTATCGAAACCAGCCTGGAGTATATACCTTTATAGCGTACAGCACGTCCCTTTCGTGCTTTGATATTTATTGTGCCGTGGGCGATTCAAAAGCAACGACCAGGAATGAAGTCGGTGCTTACTAGGCTGGTTGCCGTTCCTTGCAATGCCCTTGGCAGTATAGCTATCGCATGGCCACGCACCGACGTGGGCCACCTCTAGATTGGCAGAGCCGTGCTAGCTTTACCTCCTAGTCCTTAGATACGCTTCTCTCCCTTCGCTGTGCCTCAAAAGCCCCGTTTGGCTGCCGTTTGTACTGCCGCATTTTGAAAACTGCTTTATGAGCAAAGTATTCGTTTATGATGAATAAAGTACTGGCGGTGCCTTTGATCCGCCCAAGCAAAGTAGTAATAAACTTTCCTCCAGCTTATTAGCAGCCCAAAGGGCGGAAATAGCATCCAACTACGCACAGCGGCATTTGATTTTGAAGCGCTAACGAGACTTTCCCGTAGATGGAGCTGCCCTGTGTAGTTGTGACCTTACGCCCTGCGTTGTTTGACGCTTCTTCCGCCCTTCATAAGCTCCTGGAATTTTACATTTAACTCATTGTGCGTGGCGGATCTATATATACATTCGTTACGCGGATGTTAGCCAACGCGATCGGCATATATATAGATGCGCAGGAACACTCACTACTCTCTTCGTCCTAGTTGTCGTCGCTACTCACTGGCACAGCCTAGACCTTGCTACACCTTTGACCTTTGAGTGGGCGCACAGTTTACGCATGTACAAAATAAAAGGCGGGGCTGGTGTGCGCAGCAGCTGCCACACCTTCCGCGCGTATAATACGCATCTAAGAGCGATGAATGCAGATCTGCCATGGAAACGTGGCCTCCCTGCGGCTCTAAGATGACACTAGGCTTTCTAACAGACGAAGAACGAATCTGGGCTTCGTCTGCTGGCCTACACCAACGCAAACAAAACGGCACGCGCGAACTCGAAAAAACCACGCGGAAGCGGTAATTGCACGCATGCGCATTAACGCGCAATGAGTTAAAGGACAATACAGGGCTGACCCAGTGCGTCAATGGATTATACTTCAAACCGACATTTCTTGCTTCTATAAATATTTTACTGTACACAAGACCTGTACCTTTTACTCACAATATGTGAATGATGAAAAGTGTGAGGACATTGAGAAGGGATTCTGCAAGCGATCAATAATGCAGCATTTGTTCTTGAGCGAAGATGAAAGTCTTAGTCTGCACACAATGAAGGCACAACTCACTGTCGGAGAGGCCAACGCCTTTACTTTACCATACCTGTCTCATGTGCTTAGAAATGAGTCATAGCTCTGCATTATAGATTGAACACACTCAGGAATATATACTGTAGGAAATTTGCATCAATGTGTGGTGTTTGTTATTGACATAGTTGTGCATACAGTACCAGTACCAGGACCAACATATTTTGCATGAAAAAAACATGTTTATAGCATACTAGCTAAAAGAATAATATCAGAGGAAAGGAAAGAACCTCCCCCACCCAAGCACACAAAACACAGACAATAACATACCCAAGCATACAAAAACACAGACAATAACATATAAACAGAAAGAACGAGGCAGGACCCTGGGTGCCCGGACTTGAGAACTGGGGCGGTAGGTTAAAGAGTCATGTTATGGTTGCCTTTTTCATTGTGCATCAGTGTACCAAATATCATTTTGCATTAACTCTGTTTTATTGCCGGAGAGTATTTCTTATTGTTTACATACGAGTGGCTGTAATGCATGGGTGGTTTATAGACAACTGTCATTAACCCTCGGCGCGCATGCGCAGCGAGGGTTACTGTAGTTGGGTTTGTCTGTGTGTGTGTGTGTCTGTCTGTCTGTTACTCTACATCTCACTTCTCGAGTGTTTGTTCGTCTCACAAACGATACGACCTACCCAACGGGCAATGAAGGTCAGAAATTTTGTGGGGTTTTCTCTGAAAATGCTCCGTTGCAACGCTAGAGCGCTTCAAGCATTGTACGGCTAATGCGTAGTAGGACATTTTTATCGCTGCGGAAAATGCGCATGCGCTTATATTTAGCACAGGCTTACCTCGACCGGGCCCACTTGCTCTGTGATCCTGCAAGGCACAAAGAAGTCACAACGAAGGGCGTGTATCGACTCCCACATGCTATCTTCTAGAATCATACTACTGTAGCGAGTCCCGTCAGACGCCTCCGCGAGCTATACTAAGCGAGGGACCTAACCTACACCAATATCGCCCCAGCCCACATCAATTAGCAGTTCCGCGCATGCGCAGTTCGCCGAGGGTTTGCACTGTAGTGCTTTTCATTAGAGACAGGTGAGATAGCCTATTAGTGAGAGAGACAGACACTGTCGCACCTCGAAAACTGTCGAGGGCAGGTACATTAGCAGTGACTGCATGCCAAGTCAAGGCGTGCTTGTCGGATCAGACAGTGTCTGCTCTGTTTATACGAGGCCAAGTAGTAAGTGACAGCACAGTGACAGCCCATGTTACAGCCCATCGCACAATCTCTATTGGTACACTCTAACTCTCTACAATGGTGGTGGTTGCACCAGTTGTACATTATTGTCACCTGTCTGTTCAAGCTATAGCACCTGCAATGTAGATCATGTCTGATACTAGATCGAACAAAATTATAGATATTTGGTGTGATTGACGGATCGAGGGGTGGGTTGTGGTAGGCTGGGGGTGTACATGGCGATGTCTTTTTGTAAATCCCGGGTGGGGGGTGGGGGTGCCTGGGGTGGGGCGTGGTGTTGATGTCCTCTGGAGTCGGCCTATATTGCCTTTTAGACGGGTCACCCCGCGGGGGGGGGAAAATAATAATAATAGTCAAAAAAAAAGGAAAGGGGGGGGGAAAAACACAAAAGGGAGCTGGTTGGTTGTTTTGTGTAGCCTGGCGTGTTTCGCAAAGAGAAGTCGGATGGTTGGGGGGGTGACGCGATCCAAACTGAATAACCACACAACTTTATAAAAAACACAGCTAGAAAGTGGTCTTATCCGCCTACACTTTTTTGTTTCATATTTCGGGAGGTGGCTAGGGGTTGTATTTACGCGCGTCCTTCCTTTTGAGTGGTCTGTATTGTTTATCATTTCTGTATCCCAAATTCTTCAGCCTAAATCTGGGTCACATTCTATTCCTCTTCCCCTTTTGTTCTTAACACCGACACATGACGTGTGTCCCCTATTAACTTGGGCCATTTGTTGTTGTTTACAGTAAACAAAATTGTGTACAAAGAGTAATCTCTTAGGGTAGGGATATCTAAGTTGTGCAGAGTCCGTGCCTTTTATGTTATTGGTGAACAAAGTGTGCCGACCTAGACATCTAAATGCGGGTTTTATCCACACCTTCTGTAAAGGTGAACCGGTACACTGGCACATACCATAATATGTGCGTTAAAATATTGAAATATTGAACTGCTTGCTCTGCTCGCCAATAATGTGTTGCATTTTCTTCTAGTTTTTTTTGAGTTATGGGGGTTGAATCTGAAGGAGGAAAAGATTAACAACTCCCTATCATTGTCCCATACATATAGGTACTACCATGCATAGTGTTTTGTATTTATTAACCCTTAGTGTGCATGTAGAGCAATATGTAAGAGATAATGTGCGTTTAGAGTTCTATACGTGATTTATGGGAACGAGGGGTGTGGTGTGCTATTTCAATAATTCTTTTATTGAACGTTCAATATTGGTCATATTGAACGCGTCTACAATACGGGAAATAAGGGTACGCGCGGCAGCTTTGATCCGCCCACACAAGTCACAATAAATATATATAAGTGTTTGTGTCCTTTGTTTCCACATTTTTATGCTAATACCTGCAACAAGTAAGCCAAAGTGTGATACAACGGGCTGAGAACCACACTATACTACCATTAGAGGTTATGGGCTGAAACCACTTTTAAAAGCCAATTTGCTATATCACCTCATTACTGGTGTATTTGTGTCAGAAACTAGCTCTAACTAAAGTCTGTTCGCGTTCATTTTGCCGCCGGAAGTGCACTAATCAAAACTGTTTACGCAAGGGTGCGTCGTATTGAAATATCGCGAATATTTGTGGGCAGTGGATATACACGATGTCACGCATGCACTGAATACGTTCCACGTGTGGTTCCATGAGTTTTTCTGGTAAAGACGGTTTATACTGACCTTCACACTGTCATTCGCCTCCCATTCTTGTCTTTTCCTTGGTCTGGGCTCCCGCAGTAGCGGCGGGGAGAGAGGGTTCTTGCTCGCGCTGCGCTACATGCGCACACTCTACACTGTAAGCGCGCACATTGGACCTGTGTGATTGCATTTTTCGTGGTCAAAGGAACGTCGCATACCTTGCTTATGTGACATACAGCTAAGTACGTGAGTGGGCGTTGGACGCGCTCACAAAGCAAATAAATACAACCTACTCTCAACTGCAACCACGCTGCGCTTGAAATTTCGAGATCAGTCACTGTTTAGCTACATTACGGCAGATTTCCTACTTGCAAGGTGAATGCGAATAGACTTTAATAAGTGTGATTATCGACAGTGCCATAAATAGCTGTACTGACCCATGCATGTGCTCTGCAATGCTACCTACTCGCCCACGTTTATACTTCTAACCCTTAATGCGTAGGTTACTGTACTATTGTTCCCAGAATTGCAACTAGCTGTTTGATATGCAGACTGATGTAGGTGCACAAGGTTGCATGGGTGTTTTTTGTGCATTTAACATTAATAAAGTGGTTATCACTGAGTACGGTAGTACTTAGTATAGGGATGACAAAGGTTGTCCTGCATTATGCCAATACATTTTGGATTTGTATGTTTCACTTTCAGTTTCGATCAGATTCCAGTTCTGACATCAGTCTGATCTGTATAGTCAAAAACAGCATGCACCTAGAAATGTAAAATCGCATAATCCGTATTTGATTTATTCAACAAATACAGTTTTCAAAATTATTCCTGTTGTCATTGTCGTTGTTGCTGTTGTTTAATTTAAATCGCGCAATTGGTCCATGCGCAGAATTTTCCGGACTCTAAATTTGGCACGAGTTTTCCATGGGTCTGGCTCCGCATGTGCACTAGTTAGGACAGCTAGCTAGGTTGATGATAGATGGTGACGTGACTAAAGTGAATAGACTTGATGACTAGAGCTACTTGCAAAAGTTAAATGTGCATCCAATGAACTGGTTGGATGGCCCAGCGAATGAGTGTGGCTGGGAAGGAAGTGCAAAATGTGGGAGAGTGCTCGTCGCTGCTGGACTTGTAGTTTCGAACTCCTTTGACGCTGCGGTGCCCTGATATCTCCATGACCAGTTGTTCGTCCGCTCCTGACTGGTAAAGTCTGGTGGTGGATGTCGCCCTCAGAGAGTGATTGGTTTTGTAGCCTTGGATTCCCACCGCCTTACGTATTCTGGCTACTGTGACAGAAAGTGGATGGTAGCCCAAAGGGTGGCGGGCAAACCAGCAGGTTTCCGTGGGCGTTCATGAAGGCTGGAGGTAGAACGCATCAGCAGGGGCATCAGCGGGACAGAGACTAAGGTATTTCTTGAACAGCCTAATAAAAGAGTGCTGGGGGTTGGCTGTATTCTGATGGTGATAACCACCTTCGGCTTGATGTTTCTCGCCCTGATTCCACCTTGACGGTTTTTCGATATATCCTCTCGGTACAGTAAAAGATGATGGTGTTCAGAACCTGGTGTGGATGGGAGTCACCGTGTTGGCCCTTCTCCCAGAGTATATCTTCCTCTTCCTCAGTGATGATGTCTGCTTGCCGCTTAGTTGACCCAAGACCTTTCGCTTGAAGTCGCTTCATTTCGCCGTCAAGGGATGGCTGGAAAGAAGCGAACTCCGCACTGTGCAGCAAATCAACTTGCTTCCCTTGTCCCCAAAGGTGTCTCTGGAGACCACCGCAGATGTGATAGAGGCTGTTGGGTGGGTATTCTGAGCCGTTCTGTTTTCGTACCTCAAGTGCAAAGTGACTCAGCCAGTTGTTGATATCTGTGTTGTTCATTTCCTCTAGTGATTGTATTTTCTGTTTTGTTGTTTTTTCTCTCACCTCTCTCCACACTTCACACACATTCGTGCCAAATTTTGTATCTTGCCATGTTTTTTGTGGGATTCTCTCTTCTCTCACGAGCTGTATTTCCTCTCCCGTTGTTGGAGGCGCAAAGCGGGTGTGGCTGGAGCTCGTCTGCGCAGGCGCGCGCTGGCTGAGGCATAAGCAGAGGCTGTGAGGACTCGTCACTAGCGGGTATCAGGAGAGAGTCTAGCTCCTCGTCTTCGTCTGGTTGTTAGTCCTCTAACCATTCCTGTATGTCTTTCACGAAGAGTTCACTGTTCGCCCCCATTCTTTTCTTGCATACTGTTCGCGGTTGCCATAGCTCTGAACAAGTTAGACGGCTCGCCCATGGAAACTTTGGGGGCGTCCTCGCTGGGCTGGAACGCCGACAGCCCAGGGCCCTTGCAGCTCTCTAATGCGTGTCGTTTCCTGGACTCGGCATCTAATTTATATTTAGTCAACAAGTATATCTAAAACCATGTAAGACTAGTCACATGCACTGTCTTGTCTCCTTGCTTTTTATGGCATCCCTATATTCCAATAACATTTTACCCACTATCAATGCCAATTTGGCCTTAATTTGGCATAAACATTCTTGTATCATTACAGGCTGGAATCCAATTGCATACTTGTGCCCGAATCCGCGGTTTTTAAACCTTGAATGGGTTTGGCCAAAAGGCTTTATTAATGTGTTTCGCTGATATAATTTTTTATTCATGCTATTTGTTGTAATGTCACCTGTAGCCGGATAACCAATACTGTTTTTACTTTCCATTAACAGTACCAAAACGCTTTGTGTTTCCTTTATGCATAGTTTTTGGTTATTCCGTATGACAGAGTGCTGCCTACTGAGTTCTGGTGTGTTATCACTAAGTACGGTGGGCATGGTACCTAGCATCTTAGATATAATATGGGGCTACGATAGGGAGTTTTGTTTATCATCTTCTTCTCCTTCTTCTTCTTCTTCGACCAGCATAACTCAAAAATCTAAAGAGATAAAGCCATGAAATTTTGTTGGAATGTACATATCCATAACCACATGTGCAACGTCATCCGTTCCAGTGCTTACGCGCTCATAAACTCATGTATTTATAATCTCGGCTGCTTAGGAGTCAGAGTACGATAAGAGCACACTTCCGCGGCCTACCATATGTAGCTCTCCCATAGCAAAATGGTAGTGCCCTTACCCGGATAGCAAGAGGTGGTGGTTCAAATCCCACAGGTAGAGCTGATTTTTCTTTGTTTCTTTCCTTCCTTCTGACTTATGCACTCTTCACACATTTCTTTCAGCCTTCCTGGTGTGAGATGGAAGATGAGACGTGCGGATAATTAATCTGACATAATCCGGTAAAGAAAGTGATCCGTGCCAGCGCTTATGCGCTCATAAACACATGTGCAACGTCATACTTTTTTGGTTTGTAAACAATATTGTTTACTGTGAACAACAACAAAAGTGCCCCAGGCAATACAGTATAATGGGCATACACATGTGTCAGTGTAACTCACAAGTGGTGAGTGCTACGTGAACGAAAGTTTGTATACATGATGTATTCAATAGCCAAAATCAAAATCACAGTCAAAGTGGATATTAATTAAAGGTACTGTGGCAGTATAAGAAATGTTAGTAAAAACAACGGGGGGGGGGTGAAAGAATGCTTGCTTTTAGTAACCTTTATATAATGCAACATTCCCTATAAGAGTAGCACACCTGGCAAAATGTGCGATGGTGTTGGGGGTGTGGGCGTGCTCAAATCTGTTCGTTAACCATGCTTCATGTATCCCATCCCTATCTTGTCTCCCTTTCTTTTCATACCATCCCTATATACCTCTTTTTTTAAATTCACAGGATTTTAAATTTACTTGTAGACATATACATTCCATGTTTCATTGACCCTCATCGCATTTGCGCAGCGAGGGCTACTTAACTTGGGCATGTCTGTTTGTGTGTCCATCCGTCCATCTGTCCATCCGTTTTCTACCACGTTTTGAGCAACCAACAATAAAACGAAAGATCGATACCAAAAGGTTCAGTGCTACACTGGCGTGATTTTAAATTTTGAGGATTTGTAAAAAGTACTCCAGTCTAGTTATGCCGTGGAAACCAAGTGAAAAGTGCTGATTAACACAGGCTTACCCTGACCAGATCCGCTTGCTCTTGGAGGTGGGTATCGACTCCCACATGCTATCTACATGTAGTAGAGTTTAGCTAGGCGTGATGGACTCTAACAAGAGACAAACAAGTAGTATAATAGCTCAGCCCATCCCGTAAGAGGTAGAACACATGTGTTTACTTTCCACATATTTGTGGTGCGTCAAGGGTTTTGACTTCAGTGCTTTCATGTTCTGTAAGTAAAGTGTAAAGTGGTGTGTGTCAGTATATCGCGAAAAAGGGGTTCTCCTTAATATTGCTTAAAACATTTTCTTTACTATTCATTCACTTTTAGCTAACAAAAGAGTGTACACAAGTTGACGAAAAACAATTTGGGTTTAATGCAAGTGCTGAGGGAGGAGATGGCCAAGAAGTGGATGACTCGACATCCTCCAAGTCAGGATGTAACATTGTCCTTGCGAACAGGCTGGTTCAGACTGAATATGACAAGAAGAAATATCAACGTCACTTGAAGGTTGTTTTTCTTGTGTTGGTCATTTTTTCGCAGCTGTTCATTGTTGTTGTTAACCCTTTGGGCGCTATAGGTGTCGCCTTAAATAAGCATAAATTGATGTATAACATATTAGCGCCTAGTATTATAGCCATAATATAAATTCTTATGCACTTATGGAGGCTCTGTGCATATATATATGTAAATTGCGCCCAAAAGGTTAACTCTAGGCTTCGTATGCTAGAGAGTGAGGGTTGCAGTACCTCGTTCGTAAGTCTGTCTGTCTTACGTCTGGGGTTATGTGACAGCCGACATATAAATAGTGGTACTAGTGAATGCAGTGCATTTTGGCGAGTGAAAACGAGCCAACTGAGGATGTCCTACGTGGAAAGGCACATGCACAGAAATGCACGCCTCTGTTGAATGCGAAACTGTGCCTGCTGCGAGCTCTGTCTCTCGCTAGTCTCTCCTGAATTAGTTTGTTCACCATGCCCAAGTCTTCCTTTTTACGCATTCCTAGTGCGTAGTTGTGATACCTATGTGTATAAGTTTGCATGGACACACCTGTGCAAGTGTCAGTTATAAAAAATGATTGGACATTGCTCATTCCTTCGCCTATCGGTCTTACTAGGCAATGTGTACTTACGAGTTTGATTCTGACTGGGTAAATTTCAATTTCGCTTGATTTCGTATGTCTATGAAGTTGCATCTTAATTCCATGTGTGTAACAGAACAATTGAACTCTGCTTTGCTCCCAGTTTACTATTAATATTGTACGGTTGCAATATTCTGTGCACCCAATGTTATTTTCATGTGGTACAGAAGCTGACTGAGTACAAAATGTTGCTGCTACTAATGCCGTGTCTATTGTCTTAGCATCAATAATGGATATTCCCTGATACCAAGCATTAGCAGCAACAAAAACCCCCACTCTGTCGCCTCTTCATAATAACCTACCTTTTTGAAAAACAATTGCAAGACCTCTAAAGGTTTCTCGCGATTCTGCGATCTGATTGGACCACACGAGGTACTTGATTTCCCGTAGTATATCTGGACGCTCCATAGTTAACCTTGTTTTTTATGTAAATTTTTCACATGAAATGACAAGATTACGTACATAATTTACAGAAACATGTAGCTTTATCGTATACTGTTTAGTTTCAACAGTATGCACAGAGAGACAAGAAGTCTGGCCCTAGCTATACATAAGCGCCTGTATGCTAGCGCTAGCGGTACGTCACGCCCGCTGATACGTGCACGTAGTGTGGGCGGAGCCCTTTTGTACTAAGCATGGCGGGCTACAAGTGAGTGCTGTAGCTTCCGCTTAGCATTTATGGCTCGCCACTGGTCGCTGAAATCTCGCTCAAGCCTGCTACCAATCGCGTCTTCATGCTCATTCAAATTTCAGTCGCCTGGAAACTGGCGCTGTGCATGTGTGGATTTGTCTGCTCTGCAAAAAACATGTTAGTTACTCCGTATACTCGGGAACTACAGGATTTAAATGAACCCTCAGGCCATCCACGTCGTTGCCCTCGCTGCGCAGAGGCCCTCAGGTTCATTGAAATCCCGTAGTTCACGAGTATACGGAGTAACTAACTTATATGTAGGTCCAGAGCGTTCCAGCATCTAACCTCTTTAGTGCAGAGCGTACGCGCGAAGCGTCAGTTTCCATGATTGGGACTTGGCAGCAGCACGCACTGAATGTAAGCCGCGCTCGGGTTGACCAGGCGTAAACGTGAAACAAGCGGGCGGCAGTGCTGCACACTGCACCACAGTAGCTCAAGTGTTGCGGCAGCTTTTGTCGGTATCACCATCGATATGCACGCGCTAGGCTTTACAGGGGCTGGCTCCGCGCTCCGGAGCTTTCTGTGGCTTTGCCATGCCCCCTTTTATTTTTACCCGCATGCGCATGTGCACAATTACACACATGCACATTCTTGACGCCTCTCTGACGTCTTTCATTGTACATCATGTTGAAAAGGTGTAAACGTTGTATGTAAAGTTGTAGGTTCGTTACCATGTTTTTCTGTTGAAATTGTAAGTTCCTTACCATGTTTCCATGTTAGAATTGTAGGTTCCTCACCATGTTTTTGTGTACCATCACATTCAACTGAGCAAAATCAGAAACTTTGTCCAATGAAATTTCTTGATTCAACTGAGCTATCCACTAAACCTGGCTCTAATGCACTTGTGCATTCTGTAGCAGGCAGATATATGCACATGTGCATAATAGTGAGGAACCGTTCCCTTTCAATGAAACCCCACACTTGTTTTCTATCCCAGAGAGAATATTACATCAATGAGGAGCATGAATTTTATAATGAGCTTTTAAGGAAAACGCCACCTGTGCACTGCAGACAATGGAACCTAATGCATTGACGTTTACAAAATTATGCAGACTTCTTTGTTCTCTGGAACTCAAATGACTAACTAATTCTTATTTGTACCAGAGTGAGTGAAATCTTTTTTTGACGTTTCAATCCTCTCGGCTTGTTCCTGGCACGTGATATCCACTGCGAAAAACAGAGCCAAACATCACTTTAGCTCCGAGCACACATGCTTTGGTTAATCTCATCCTTCTCTCCCGGAACTTAGTTCCTCTATTATCACAAAGTGTGAGCTTGTTTACAATACTACGCATCTGCATGTGAAAGTTTAGTTTATCAATTATGCATTATAATCCATTTTCAAGTTCAGATTTGTAGAGTGATACGTGATAGATATTTGTGCAGCACACCTCAGGGATGAGTACAAAAAAACTGAATTGAAAGGAGATCGGAATGCACTGTGGGTTACAAGAAACGAACAAGTTATTGTAAGAGATCCCATACACAAGAAACCTCCAGACCACTGTCTCTGTTTATCAATCTGCGTCCATGTCGTCTAATGTGTAGTGCCTCGCTGATATTCCTGGGGATGGAGTCTGTGTCCTGATCTACTACAGAGATGTTGTCCCAGTTTGTAGTATGTCGTGTTGTCCAGACATGTTTTGCTCTAGCCGACTTCTCCGATTTTCCCTTCCTGACAGCATCATTGTGCTGTTTAACCCTAGTTGACTGACATAGACCTGTCTCCCCAATGTGGTGGTAACCACAGTCTTGATGTGGTATGGAATACACAACTCCTGATCTCTCTAGGTTGGGAGTAGGAGACTTTGGGTGGGAAAGGATGGATCTGAGGGTGTTTGTTGTTATGTTGTCCTAAAATACGCCATATTCTCTGAGAGACTCCAGAAATATAAGGAATGCACACTGTTTTTAGTGGGATGGGAAGAGGATCTTGAGGTTTTTGAGGACAAGTAAGAATGTAGATGGGATACTGGTTTGCTATAAAAACTTTCCTTAAGAACGAATGTTCTTCTCTCTTGGAGTTTTCATCTGATGGAATTGCCTCAAGCCTTTTAAATAGAGTTTTCACTACAGATCTTTTCACCGACATTGGATGGTGGCTGATGTAGGTCAAAAGTTGGTTGGTATGTGTCGGTTTTCTGTATATACCAAAAGAAAAGGAGCCATCCTCAACTCTGGATACCATAACAGTGCATGAAATTAGACAAAAATCTTTGGACAATTTCTCCGAGCACAATCGATTTTGTTCTGCTATTCTCTGCTGTTGATCAGCCATAACAATAATTTATGCTTCTACATTGTATACAATAGATGAGTTGTGAATCATCCAGGTCATCTTGTCAGGGCTCACTGGAGGATGCTTGGATACCTCTCTTCATTATCTCCACGGACTTGCAGCGGACTCTAGCTGAGCTAAGAAGCCACGTGCTATTGAGCCTCGCATAGCCACACATAGCCACACCCTCACCGCAGACCGCGCGTGGAGTGAGGCTGGGAAAGAAGGCGTAGCTAGCTAGATCATCAGCCTACGCGCTATACGCGCGCGCGCCTGGCCCGTTTTACGCGGAACCATGCCTTTTTAATCGCGTGCGTGCGGGCCTGCGTAGTCGTCGCCGTTCGGACAGTGAGGCAGAACAGAACGATTTTTGCTCCGACAAGTGCCGCAAATGCTCGGAAAATGTCCGATGTCCGACTGTAATTTCATGCACTGCCATAACATCCAAAAAAGTTTTTGGAGTGCTTATTAACCCTCGCCTGCGTGCATATGCAGCGAGGGTTATTGTAGTCGGTCTGTGTGTGTGTTTGTGATTGGGGAAAGAAGGAAGAGAGGTAAAGTGTAGGCAGGACTAAAGCTAATGAGAGAGGGTGGGGTGGCTTTTGTTGGCATCACTGCATGCAGCCAGCCAGGTCCTTAAATGTACATCCACAAGTCCAGCAACATGCAGGGGAGGTGCTTGGCTCTTTGTTACTGGTCATCAAGATCAAGTTCCCAGTCTTTCACCATGTCACACGTGTTTCGGCCTCATTAAACTCCCGACATGTGAGACTCCAGAAAGGCTGAGATCACTCCACCTGGTTGGATTCAAGATTTCCCTACTGCATGGCTGCAATTGAAGGGGTCAGAGCCAGAGTGGGCCTTGTGCATGTAAAATTGGGTAATGAAATGTTTTGTGTATGCATCCATATTCCATTCTGTAATTGTTATAGAGCATAGGTAAGAGATGTATAACACAACATGGACCCTTTTACACAAACCTGAGAAGCCATACTAAGCATAGCGTACATAACTTAGTGTGTTTTAAACTAGTCAGAATCACTTTCACTTGCTGACTGCTCAGTTGCGATGCCATATAATGATGTTTAAAAGGTATGATAAACAGGTGGAATGAATTGCATGACGTCTTCCAATTTGTTACTGGCAAGTGGGCGTGACCCTGAGTAGAGTGGTTGCAATTTGATTCTGCCAATATCAATTGGTCGACCAGGCCGTGTTTTTGAACATCAAGGATTTTCCATCCTTCGAGTGAATTCAAACTGTACCTGTAAAAGTTGGTATGGCTTCTCCTTTCTCAGCTGGATCCATCTGATGTTTAGCCAGTTAACCTTTGGTTTTTGTGTGTTAATTTAACAGAGATAAAATCAGGTGTAGCCATCCGCACAGCAATAAAAGGGTTC